TCCCCCCACATATGTTGGTGAAATCACAGGGTGAGACGCCAGAGTGAAAACTGAATAGTCTGAGCCTCGTTTACACCTCAACTCTGATCTGGTCTGTTGTTCACCAGCATAAGTGGTAGGCAGACATCTCAGAGCACTAAGTGTAAGTAGTTTCTTTTTTGTAGAATTAGCTGTTGCTTATGACTGGTGGCTAATACATCAATCAGCCATAACATCATGACCACCTGCCTAATACTGTTTACATAGGAGTTGGTTGGCACTCGTGTCACTCTGCAGCTCACTGTGCATCTTCTGTGAATCCATTTGCTTCCACAGTTCTACTGTCAGGAAGAGCACAGATGTGTCTACAATTCAGTGAAAAATGTATGTAAAAGGAGTGAAAACTGTGGTCATGAGGACAAGTTAGAGAGAATTTTTTAGACAAATTCGACAGCATCATCACTACAGTCCCTGACTCTTTCTCTTCATAGTGTGACAGCATGCTGCTGTCTCTTAATTTCCTCAGTTGTACCAAAATGTCAAAATAACAGATAAACCAGGAGACCAGGTTATTAGCAGCAAGCTGTTAAGCGTGCAGTGAGACAAACTTAAGCATTTAAATTTGCTATTATATCCTCCAACATGTCTGATACCATCCCATAACATTTGATATGTCAGAATCTTTTTATTTTGTCAAGACAATCCAAAACAGTGCTAAACCGGTAACACAGAAGCAGGCCACAGAGAGGCTGTAATGAACTGCACACAACTTAAATCAGGCACTGAGGAGACAAAAAACAGAGTAGCTTGAGTAGGCTTCAGATAAGGAGGCACCAATGAAAGAAATCAGGTGGCTGATGCAGTGCATGAAGCTGCAGCTGGTGAGGTAGTGCTAGACAGGAAGTGATAACAAATAAGAGCCCCACACAGGAAACAGAAACCAGCTATGCCAATTGTAGGCTATTTGATGCTTCTTCAGGGCACAAACAATACCTCTGTTCAAAGTGAACTGCAACCTTAACTGCGCAAGTAAACCTTAAAATATTAGCTGTTGCTTCTGGGGAGCTTGTGGTTGGTCAATACAAAAGACCAACAGGGAATGTGTTTGTGTTGTTTGCAATTAGGAGTGAGCTAGATTATGTCACCTTTTTAAGATAATTCTGTCCACAACCATCGTTTTCGGTTCAGTCAACACACTTATTGACACACAACCACCACGTCACAGTTTAATAATACATTTAGCCCACACAAACAAACATCGCTGGTCTTAAAGACTGTGCTTCTCAGACATGATGTTCACAAGTTACAGAAACATGGCATCTGAAAAATGGCTTACACTGTAAAATTGTACACACAAATATTTGTCAGCTGTGAACAGCTGATGAATACTGTTACAGCAAAGTCAATAAAAGTTTAGATAAAATTTATAAAAACGGCTCCATATGAAATACAAAATCTAAAAAAAAACACTATCAATATGATAACATTCACTCCAGGAAAAACAAAACATTAGAAATAATGTAAATACTTGTGAGTGTAACAACAACAAAAAAAACTTTCATAAAACAATGTTTCTCAAGTCACTTGACTTATTACAATGAAGGGCCACTGCAGCAGGAAAGACAAAGTACAATAATAAACATTATTATTATTATTATATGTAGCAAAGTTGTACTTCCAGATAAATCTGTAATTTTGTAAGGAAAATAATATGTCCAGGTACAATTGTTTAAAGGAAATAGAATATTTGTAATATTACCACATTGTAATAGTTTTAGAAGAAGGTTTCAATATATTTTGTTATAAGAATAAAGTTGCATTAACTTGAACATGAAATTGTTGGTTACTTCAAGTTATGAAAATGCTTTGACCAAATTTGTTTCTTGCAAAATTACAATTTCTAATAGTTGCCATTTAACTTTTAGTGTAACATTAACAGTTTTCTTGTAAAAGTATTACCATATATTAGTAAAAATTCTAATCTTTCTTTTACTCTTAAACTTCACTGGGTGTTACTCCACATAAATATTGAGTTTATAATTATAGTTATATTTTATCATTACTAACTTTGTTTTTATTTTCCACATTACAGCAAACATTATGTGTTAAAGACATTGGACTGAAAAACAGATGTCAACATTTACACAGTACAAGATGCAACATAACACAGAACAACTTTTAACATTTGTGCATAAAATAATGCACTGAACTGAGCACAAGTGTGAGTTACCAAATCCAAAGGTTTTAACTAAATGTAAGTATCTCATCATTTTGATTTCCCTGCAGTAATTTTACTTTTATCATTCTTAGCTTTAGATTAATTTTTGATATGAACGAAGTTTTTGATATCAACACATGGATCATACATTAGTCCGGCATAAAAGGCCGTTATTGGACTGCTCGTGTTAATAACCCAAAGAAACCTGCATCTCATTTAAATCAGTATTCAACCCAAACAAACAATGTGGAGCACCAGAACTGATTGGTTTTCTCTCAGAAAAAGAAAAAACAATCAGAGGAGGAAAGAAAGCACTTCTTGGTTGTTGAGATGCAAAGTGAAAAACAAGACGTCTGGTGAGAGTAAAGGTAGAGCGGTGATAACAGAAGAGTCCAGAAATCCAAGGTCCACAGAAAGAGAAACCAATCCAGAGTTATCTGCTGCCTGTGTAGACAGGAAGTGATAAAACTTTATTTATACTGACTCAACAAGACTGACCACCAAACTGTTCATTCAGGAAGTCAGCAGAACGAAATTAACACATGTGACACCATGAGCTCGAACTTTTAAGAGTTTGTTCATCTTCATTTTTATTGTGTATGTATAAATACAGTTGGGACTTGAGATTCTGATAAAATCAAATCCATGTCTGATTCTTTGGCTTGCACTGACCAGCTCTAGTTTGAGTAGGGATGGGACAACATGTGTACCAAAATTCAATACGCCGTGGTACAGAAACATCGCAATGTGCACTGTTTTGTCTAGTGATATATATCGTATGTTCTCCGTACACCAGCAACTTCATATTTTTGCAAATAAGAGCCTAACAGAACTCAAGTCAATATATCTTGTTGCTCTTTACATAATCAAACCAGCACTAGATAAGGGAGGGAAAAAGGAATAAAGGGTTAAAGTACACATATTTCTTTTTTTTTGATGGTGTGCTGTGTTTGCACTTTAACTTGCACCGTGCACAGTTGTATCTTTTATAATATCTCTGTACTGGTACAATGACAACAAAGGGCATTCTGTCTTATTTTGCAGCTAGATATACATTGTTGTTATTGGATTTTAATTGTATTATGATTGAATAGAACTGTACACACCATATCGTGCATCGAATCGTATCGAGAAAAAAAAAAGTCATATTGTCGCATCCCTGTTACTGAAGATGTGACTCACCAGGAGCCTACTTGCTGTGGTTCTGATGAGGCTGTTGTTGTGGTTGGGGGGAGTAGTGACGAGGGCTGAACACCACCCCCCCTCCTCGGACGGTTGGTCTGATGGATGGAGAGGAGGACGGACGCTGATGGTGCTGATGTCCGGCTCTGATCGGCTTGGCTACACAGAGACAGGTGACAGGTGAGTCAGCTGTTGTCTTCTCCACCAACCAGATTCAGTGTGACACTCCTGTTGCTGCTTAGAGGATCAATGCTACTCATCTGACCTGGCCTGTAAGGTCTTGACCCTGTTGCTGCTCTTCAGAGGATAAACCCTTTAGATTTTAAGAATGCTGTGCCAGTTCCTCCACCACCAGCCTGAGTACACCCTCTACATGCTTAGTCTTAGTCAGGGGCTCATTACACATGTTCTTGACAGTTCTTACAGTTACTGATCTGATTAAATGTTAATTCTGGCTCCTCACAGGATGAACCCTGTACATTTTAATAACCTCTTCTGTAGCTCCCCTCTCAGGACAAACCTTGTGCTTGTAAGAGCATTTGACTCATCAGTAAGCTGAGTTTGTTGTGGAATGGAACAGCAGAATTACAATGGAGCCAGGCTGTGCAAAATGTGTTACGTGAACAAGCTAGTCACACAAAGCAACATGGGTATCTCTGGGTGGAACGACCAAAAGTCAAATAGCTCGTGCTAATTAGTTAACAATTCAGGAATTTGGTAAAAGACAGTAAAGCACGCAGGTCTGCAGACATCGAAAATCAGTATCACAATGATCAAGCTGAGACAGAGAAAAGAGCCAAAGGGAAAGAAAAGCAATAAAATGTGATGTGACCAGGCTGACAAATTAAGATGTTTTGAGGATGTTTAGAATTGCCCTGAGATTAAGTACCAGGTGCCTGAATATGAAAAAGAATCAGAAGGAGAAAATGATGAGGCAGAATATGACTTCCAGATGGAAAGGCAGATACTGAGGTTGTGGAAGCAGTCAGACCATGAAAGAGGAGCAAAAACCATGGACCAGTGAAAAGTCATGGAGCTTTGTAGACCAAGCAGAAGAAATAAATACAAACTTAGGCACATGCTCTGAAAAAGTTAAAACGCATTCAGAAAAAGACAGAGGTAAAGTATAAACAACAGAAGGAAATTAACAGAGAAAGTCACAAGCAAAGCAGAAGAAGCTGCAGGAAGACACCATGTGAAGACAATATATGGACTCACAAAAAACCTGGAGGACAGAGTCTCAAAAGCCAGGGGCATATACATGAAATTAAAGAGGATCCAGAACTACAAAAATATCTCAAGAAGAACAAAACTGGGGCTCGATAAAACACTGGTAGCACCAGTGTTGGGTGTGAGACATGAAAGTTGAACAAAGGAGATAACAAAGCAGCTGAAGTGTTTCATAACAAATGTCTATAAAGAAATTACATGGAAAGACTATATCAGTAGATCGGTCATATATTAAGGTAGGACCAGAGCAATGGCTGTAACATAGCAATGGCCTGGTCTTCAGAAGGAAATAACAAGAAGAGGAAGAACCAACAACCTCCTGAAGAAAGAAAACAGCAGGGTTGGAAATCATAGAATGAGGAATGGAGACACTCTGTGGAAGCCTTTATGTGCCACGAGGCACAAAGCCGTTAGCTAACAGACTCACCAATCTGAGCAGAGTGCCCTCTCCTGGAGACATTCTTGGAGGTGACCGCTTCTTTGATGCGATCCACTTCTTGCTGGTAGCGTTTGCGGTCTCTCACGGCCGACTCCCTGGCGTCTCTCAGGGCAGTTTCAAGAGCTTTCACTCGCTCTGCTGTGGCCCGCAGACGCTTCTCCAGCTTGGGCAGCTCACAGCGAAGGTCTGAATTGTCCCGCACCAGCTAGAAAATGCAGAGGGTCAAATTCCCTGAAGCTTTTCTGTCAAATGTTCAGATACCACCCATTTTTCCTCAGACAAATGTAGTGGGTTTATTAAACACCAGGCTGGAGCCACGGTTTGAGCTGTTTCAGCAACTGTTTGTGAGATTTTAGATTTTCAAATGTTAGTAGAGGATGATTATGTACTCTGCTATAATTAAAGCAATAGTTTGGAATTTTTCAAGTCGGTGTTAAGACAATATTGATGTATCCCTGTGTACATGAGAAGAGATATTGGTGAGTTTTAAGGTCTCTGAGCAAAACTCCAGTAGGAAACACCAGCTAAAACTTGCATGTGACTACTAGAACATATCCCTCCACCACGGCTCATTAAGGCACTGTTCAGGGAAACAAAAGAGGAAACGTAGACCTAAATAGGCTGTAACTTTGAAATATACTGACTCGAATTAGCTTACTGGGTCAGCTGAAGCTGCATTTGAGCCTCAGACAAACCTTGAAGTGCATGTTTTTACAGAATGAGAGTTGTGTAGTTTGTCCCTCATTTTTTGCAGCATAGTGACGTTCTGTGTGGAAATGTTCAGGGTCAGTGTTTTGAGAGCAGGAGAGGTGACAATGACCGAGACCTAATCTCACACACAGGGAAACATCAATATTGTTTTAACACCAACTTGAAAAATCCCCAAACTATTCCTTTAATTCACAAAATTTGCAATGATCACTGTTACTGGAAAAGCACAATAAACAGTGCAGATGGGAAAGAAAGGATGTAGTCAAGAAAGAAAAGTCACGTGCACCAAAAAATATCCATAGTTGCACTGAACCAGCTCTCTAAAAATAATAAATATAATAAATACGCATAAGAGATTATTACCAAGTAGAAAACATGGCAAATAGTATAAATAATATATGAAATTATAAAGCAGTTAACAGTGGATATGAGTTGTCTCCTTCCCCCCCCATCTTAAAGGTAGTGAGGGTGTCTGCCTCCCGAACTGAGACGTGGAGCTGGTTCCACAGGAGAGGGAGCTTGATAGCGAAAGGCTCTATCTCCCATTCTGTGGACTCTAGGAAGCACAAGCAGACCTGCACTCTGAGAGCCAAGTACTCTGTTGGGATGATAAGGCTCTACGAGGTCTTTAATAGGGATAAATGATGGTTAAGATGGCGCCGACAACGAAGGCAGCCTTGGTTACACGAGCTTTCTTGTGTTTGTTATTTCATCTTTGTTGTCTTTGTCTCTTGCAACCCATCCCAGATTACTTTTACCAGGGAAGAACTATTAAATATTGGACAACTCACACTGAACTACCTTTCTCCGATTTTTGTGAATGAAGAATGCTGTGTGGACATTCTGATCAGAGGCACAGCTGCCATATATGGGACCCGGAAGAAACGCCGGCATGGCAAGTGTGCGGGCGCTTTATTCAGGCTTCGCCAGAGAGGAACACAGACTCCACTCCCGTCTATCCACCTAGCAAATCTCTGCTGCCTAGTCAACAAGATGGATGAAATCCTTCTTGTGAACAGGACTAACCTTGACTTTGCACGCTCTGCTGCCTTATGCTTCACAGAGACTTGGCTCAGCGACTCCGTAGAGGACAGCATGATACAAGTACTGGGCTTCCCGGTGTACAGAGTGGATCACATAATGGAGCTGTCCAGGAAGATGAGGGGAGGTGGAATCTGTCTCTACATAAATGAACATTGGTGCACAGATGTCACGGTGCTAGAGAGGGCATGTAACACAGACTTAGAGACGATTTTTATCAATTGCAAACCCTTCTATTCTCCCTGAAAATTTTAAAGCTTCATCCTGGTTGCTGTCTATTTAAAACTGAACACCCACACCAGCGCACTACAGCTCTTGGCTGAACTTATAACTAGTGTAGAACTGGAACGTCCTGACTCCCCACTCATTGTGCTAGGGGACTTTACCAGAGCAAATCTCACCCAAGAACTGCCCAAATACAGGCAGCACGTCACCTGTCTCACCAGGGACAAAATCACACTGGACCACTGCTACACAGCAATAAAAGATGCCTATCGCTCTGTCCCCCGCACAGCCCTCGGATGCTCTGATCACTGTATTGTTAGGCATTTTTTAGTCAGATAGAAATTGGTTAGATACTTGTTGTATTAGAAATGTCGAGGAGGCTAAGTCAAAGCTACAGGGCTGCTTTGAATGCACAGACTGGAGTGTATTTGAGGCTGCAGCAACATACCTGGATGAACTCACTGACACTGTGACATCAGCTTTTGTGAGGATGTGTGTGTGCCCAACAAGACATTCTGCACATACAACAACAAAGAGCCCTGGTTCACAGTAAAACTCAAGCAGCTTTGTCATGCCAAAGAGGAGGTTTACGGAAGTGGAGGCAGAACTCTGTACAGCCAGGCCAGAAACACACTGACAAGAGAGATCAGAGCAGCAAAAAAGAGCTACTCTCAAAAGCGCCATCAGTGGACTGAACAACTACAGACCTGTTGCCCTGACATCTGTAGTTATGAAGTCCTTTGAAAGACTGGTGTTTACCCACCTGAAGGACATTGTGGACACCCTGCTGGACCCTCTGCAGTTTGCCTACCGGGCAAACAGGTCTGTGGACAATGCAGTCAACATAGCACGGCATTACATCCTGCAACACCTCGACTCCCCAGGGACCTATGCACGGGCCCCCTTTGTGGACTTCAGCTCAGCATTCAACACCATCATCCCAGACATCCTCCACTCCAAACTGACCCAGCTCACTGTGCCCCCACCTGTCAGTGGATTACTAGCTTTCTCACAAACAGGGAGCAGCAGGTGAGGCTGGGGAAAACCACATCCAGCACCCCGACAATAAGCACAAGTGCCACCCACGGATGTGTGCTCTCCCCTCTGCTGTTTTCACTCTACACAAATGACTGCATCTCGAAGGACCCCTCTGTCAAGCTCCTAAAGTTTGCAGATGATACAACGGTCATTGGTCTCATCCGAGATGGCGACGAGTCAGCCTACAGACGGGAGGTTGAGCAGCTGGTCCTATGGTGTAGTCACAACAACCTAGAGCTGATCACGCTCAAAACAGTGGAGATGACAGTGGACTTCAGGAAGAGCACCCCTACCTTTCCCCCCTCACCATACTTGGCAGCACTGTATCAGCAGTAAAGTCCTACAAAGTCCTGGGCTCCACCATCTCCCAGGACTTGAAGTGGACATCCAACATCAGCGCCATCATAAAGAAGGCGCAGCTGAGGATGTACTTCCTGTGCCAGCCCAGGAAGTTCGACCTGTCCCAGGAGCTACTGATACAGTTCTATAAAGGGATCATCTGTTCTCTGCACCTCCATCACTGTCTGGTTTGGCTCAGCAACCAAACAGGACAAGTACAGACTCCAGCGGACAGTCAGGACTGCAGAAAAGATCATTGGTGTGAGCCTGCCCTCCATGGAGGACCTGTACACCTCACGGGTCAAAAGGAGGGTGGAGAACATCTCTGCAGACCCCTCACACCCTGGACACAATCTGTTTGAACTCCTCCCCTCTGGACAGCATTACAGGTCATTGTGCGCCAAGACAACCAGGTACAAGGACAGTTTCTTCCCCTGAGCCGTCACTCCGACACACTTAACCCATGACAATATAACTGGACAATAACCCTCAGTGCAGTACCTGTAAATATACATTGTACAGATTATACAAATTCATACAGATCTCTAGTTTTATTTTTAAGTACTCCATTTCTATTCAATTTTTATCTCGTCTCCCACTGAACATTCCTTTGTCTGACTGCATTGTTTATTGCTTGTTTATACTGTTTATTTTGTTATACTACTTGGCCTTTATTGTTGCCTTGCATGGGGATATGTACGTACACATTGAGAGCCGCTGTACCAGAATCAAATTCCTTGTGTCCAGCACACCCGGCCAATAAAGCTGATTCTGATTCTGATTTAAGATACGACGGAGCCTGGTCATTAACAGGTTAGCAATGGTAACTGAAGTGGGCAGGGCTTAGTGAAGAGGTGTGGATGTCCCCTGTGGTTGATTCACTGACCTGTCTGTGGACTTTGCTGAGCTGCTCCAGGTTACTTTCTAAGAAGACAATTCTATGTCTCTGAGCCAGGCTGCCGCCAGCCTCGTCACTGTCGTTCTCTGAAATCTGTTTAATGAAGAATCAAATTAAATCAGGTCAAAATTATTAATAAATAAGATTATGAAACAACACAAAGTTGTACAATACAACAAATACCACCATAAAAATAAGAGGGATAAAAAGTAGCAGACAAGTTACACTAATGCAGACTAAAAACTCTCAAACTACTCCAAAGCAGTTAGTTATGAAGCCATCCTAGCATGTAGATGAAGCTGATTTCAGCCCTGGGCGCTGCTGACGAAGAAGCATGATCACCCCTATTTTTCAGCTTTATCTTGGGGACCATTTGGTCAGCCAGCTGAAGAGACCTTGCGGGAGTATAAGCTATTAAAAGATCAGTTAAATACTGAGGGACTAACCCATTTATTGTTTTAAATGTCATTAATAGGATTTTAAATAGCACCATAAAACACATGGAGCCGGAGGAGAGAGGCCAATGTAGGTGTAATATGATCCCGTTTCTGTTAAAAGCAGAGCTCCACCATTTTGGACAAGCTTCAAGCATACAAAAACCTGCTTGAAATGAAAGCATGGGGGGCCTTTTCAAAGTAATCTCAGGATAAAAATGCCATGATAATTCTAGTGATGCACCGATGCGATTTTGTTGGCCAATTCTAACTTTCTTTTTTTTTTGTTAAGAGTCTGACTTGCCAATTCTGATTTTGGCCAATTGTGTTTTAATTTCTAAGAATGGCAGCTGACAGTCTACACAATCATTTTTGTAACTTTTTAAAATGAAAACTTAAAATAGAAATAAAACACTGTAATTAATGTTTTATATTTTCCTTATTCACTCTCACTCAAACAAATCTCAAAGTAAAAAAGTGCTCTAGGATACAACACAAACCTTTTTAAACAAACCAACTAAAAATGAAGTGCAATATTTGTACTTCTCCAAATATAAACAGGTTCAACAGGTAATAGGAACAGAAGAATGTCTGTTACTGTACATCAGTCCTACTGAACATGCAGTTTGCTTTAAAGTGTGTTGTTTTTATTTGGTGTTCTACTGTCTGTTGGATATACTGCACATATACACCTGCATTTCATGTGTAGCCAGTACTCCGTTTACTGTGTGCCATTTTTAGACTAAAATTTTCCTTTCTCCACTGTGTTTTTGTAGGCTCCTCTGTGTACCAAGCCACTCCAAAGCCAAGTGAAAATGTGTACGGACACAAGCACAAGGTGCATGTGAGATGCCATGTGCTGCACACACTACGCCACTGTGTGTGTGGGATGTGAACCGCCATGCGTGGAAATAGGACCGGCACAGAATCGGATATCTCAGAGTGACTGGCTGGTCAGCGGTCAAGTCAGGTCAAGCTACAAACCGGCCAACTGCAATCTCCAGTGAATCGATTGGTGCATCTCCAGATAACTCCCAGATTTTAACATATGGTTCAACGTGGGGAAAATCACAGTAACCAAGCCTAGAAACCAAATATTCTGTTTTATCCTTATCAAAGTGCAAACAACCTGAGGCCATCCAAGCTTTGACATCCTCAAGGCAAACTATTAGGGGTTCAATAAAAGTAATGAATATCATCATGGCTCTCACACCATACAGCGTAAATCACGCCGTGGTAGCGGTACTGATCCTCAGTAGCTTTTCACACAGATGGTTCAACTTTACTAACAACAGCAGACTCCATCAGCTTTCAGAGTGCGTCTGGACAATATAGTGGCATGGCAGCGGTGACTCCATAACAACTGAAAGCTTTTGATTAAGATGACGTGAGCTTATAGTACCAGCCCTGATGTGAGTTGACTCAGTTTATAAGGTGAAAGTAACAGGAATAAAGCAGTTGCAGCTAGTTGCTGACTTATGTCACTGAATTCAGCAATGATCATGGCAAAATGCTAAACAGCAACAGCAGGCAAGATACTTGACAAAGGGACATTTGAACACAAATGGCTTTCTGCACACACAGGTTTATGATGAATAAACAACAGCTCTTCTCCCACTCTGCGCAAACAGATGCAAACACAAGCCCACAAGTCTATCACAGGGCTGACACTTAGAGACAGACAGCCACACCCACTCCTACGGGCAGTTTAGAGTCGCCAGTCAGCCTAAACTGCATGTCTTTGGACAGTGGGAGAAGGCCGGAGCACCCAGAGTACTTAATGCCAGAAGGTAGACGGCGACTGTGGTTCAGTGGATAGAGCAGTCAACTCCCAACCGGAAGGTCGAAGATTTGAATCTCGGTGCCTGCAGTCCACATGTCGAAGTGTCCTTGGGCAAGACACTGACACGCCCCCCCACCCGTTGCCCCTGATGGTTAGAGCCATCAGTGTGAGTTGGCACCGCAGATGGCTGCCTCGGTTCGGTACCGGAAACAAATTCCTTGTGTGTAACATACTTGGCCGAATAAAGGTGACTATCCTAGAGGGACCACAGACAGACTCAGAAACAGCTTCTTTCCAAAAGCCCCAGTCTTAAAGTCGTAACCAAAGCTTAAAAAATTTTAAAATGGCCTAAATTAATACTATTACTACTAAATTATACTACTATTAATATGCTAAATTCAGGCACTGAAGTCCAAGGTAAGAAATTCAAACTTGAGCTACAGATGATAAAGAATTAATCAGATCTCAACTGATCAGTCAAACCAACTACTGATGTTCTTACATTCTTGATTCGAGTGCCAATGTCCTGGATGAAGACTTTACGCAGCTTGTTCAGCATCTGCAGCTCTTTGGCCTGTTGAATGAAACATGACAACTCAGCTGATCTGATATGTCACCGCTGCACAAAAAGATAAGATTAAGATAAGGACAATGTACGTACCACAGTCTCCTCCAGACCCTTTAGGTCCTCTTTGGCTTGTTCTCTCTTCTCATTCAGGAACCTGAATCACACAAACAGACCGAGTCTAAGAAAACAACCTGACCAATGAAGAAAAACTGAAGAATCTGCAGTGACTAAACTGTCGAGTTTAGACACCTCCTCCTGCTGTGTGAGTCTGAGCTGACTGGGTGATGAGGAGAAACAGCAGGTGGAGCTGATTGTCCAGTCAGTGCCATTAAATCAGCACAGAAGAAGAGGAGGTGCTTAACAGAGTTCCGGTCAAAACTCAAACGATGGAAATCTAACATTTCTGTTAGTTTTATGTGTTAATGTGAGGTCAGTTACAGCCTCCTCATCATTCCACACGTATCTGACGTTTCCAGCTCCACTGGAAAAGACTACTGACATTTTAAGGCTGTATCTACATCCCAGGCCTTAATGCTCAGCTCTGATGTTTCAGTCAGCTCTGATCTCTTTCGATTTGCTGCTTCACATCCGTGCTTGTCAAGCTCCGGTGTGAACACCGCTGAGCACCTAAACTGCTGCACATGCACATATTTAACTGAAATGTGAGCCCCATGCACACAAAAACAACAAAAGGTTATTTGTGCAACGGTAAAATTGCAGTCTCCCCACAAACTGCTTGGTTATGACATGTTCCTTTGTTAGTTTAGTTTTAATCTTCAACTTATTTTAATTCTCATTTTTAAGCTTACCTTACATGGGTTCATGATTGCATCATCTTAATAAAGGCTACGTCTATGGTTGAGTCTCTAGTTAGTACAGGGTTTTGGATAGACTCGGGTTTTACATCACCACAGACATGCTCCTAGTTTGGCTTCCAAAAGATTAAGACTGATTTTGAACATGACTTCTTGACTTGTTCTAGAATCTAAATCAACTCGGATTGTAGTGCACTAAAGGGGCCACAAAGTCTAGATTCTTTAAGATGTCATATGCATTTAAAGTTGCCATATTAGGTACAAAATATAAGTACAGGGTTTAGATAACAGGGATTCCTCTGGCCACTGTAAGTACAGTGCACACTCAACTGATTCTCTGTAAAGATTGTGCCCTGTTATGCTGTTGTATGCTGGTCTGGTCTGTTTACACTGCTGTGGACACACCAGGTCTGAGACACCACAGCTGTGATGGAAACGCATCTTTAATCAGATACTTCATGTACACTGCCATCTATTCACTAAATCTGTTTAACTTTTTAACCACATCAATTTTTACCAACAAGATACCAGTAAACACATGTTACACCTTTTTAATTAGCTTTTGAATCAGGTTAGATTATGTGTAGATTAAAATGTGAATCAAAACTGGTGGATAGAAACAATGAGAGCTTCTTAAATGTAAAATCAGGATGTTTGTGCAAAAGCAGTAGAGATGCTTGATGAGTCTACAGTACAGAGGGACAAACTTACAGGACTTTCTGAAGTTTCTGCTCTTTGTTGTGATCCTCAGCTCTCAGTTTGTCAAAGTCTGACTGCAGCTTCCTGTTCTCCAGCTGCAGGGCCTGATTCACACTATAACGACACAATATTCAATCACACAGTACACTTATTTATACTCCATCACCATGTTGCAGTTCAGCGGCAGCCTAAAAATGCTTAGAAAAAACTAAAAGTGCATAATTAATGAGGCCAAAGATTCACAGAAAAAATAAACTACAATATTTTTACTTTTGTTAAATAAAGCAAACAAAAAAACAAAGCAAAATTTGACTAAAAGTCATATTCTTTACAAAAAGCTTATCAAAATCAGATGCCAAGTTAAAGTCATCACATTGTGACAGAACTCGGAGAGCGCAGACCTCCACCAAGGGGCAACTCAGTTTTGCCATGATGCCATAAAAGCAACATTCCTGTGACAGTCTGTCCCCCATAATATGACTGCGTGACCATGAAAACCTGCTGCTGGCATTTAGAATGATGCTGATATCATTATTACTTTGAATGTTATTCAGGAAAACAACAGACAGGACAGACATTGACTCGGTTTAGGATTCAAATGTGGACTTCATTGAGTGGATGTTGGCAGAGCAGCGAAGATGTCACATTTCTGCAAGTCTGTGTTCTGCTTGTTCAATAACTGTTTGATAAACCTGTTATGTGGGTGCGCGTGTGTGTAGGACCCAAGCATGCAGCAGGTAACAGGAGGATCAGAGGATTGGGACGTGCAGGTAAGTTGACAAGAGATGGTAGGTAACAGGAGGACCAGGCTGTGCAGGTGAGTAGCCGGGTGAGACAGCAGGAACCAGGAGCTGTCACATCAGTACTTGGCATTGCCGTCAGTCAGGATAGTGCACGATGTAGTTGGCAACCAGAGTAATGAATAGCATTATTGGCGCACAGAGTTCTGACGGTCAGGTAAGAGCATGTGTAGTTGGCAGTCAGAATAGTACACAGTGTTACTGGTAGTCAGGTTTAATGCACAAGGTTACGGGCAGTCAGATAAGTGGATAGTGTGGTTGCAATCTCAGAAACGGAGAGATATGCAGGCAGAACTACATACAGCGTTACAGACAACCTGGTACTCAGGTAAGTGCACTGCATCAGGGCGCTGGCCTTGCAACTGGTGAACAGGAAAAACACAAGACTGGGGAGCGTTATTCACTTCATGGTTCATAGCTAGGCAAACATGAATCCCATCGTAGCAGAACATGCACGGAGTCTCTTGACAGCGGGACAGAAACAAAATCTGGAGTGTGTGGTGGTAGTGATAGTATCAGGATAAGTCAGGTCAGTCAGACAGAACATCAAATTGACAGTCAAACTGTCAGTCCAACAGTCAATGAGCCAGCAGCGACTAAGCGGAGAAGAGGGCGTATATGTGTAGAACGGGACCAGGAATGAGTTGCAGGTGCATGAAATAACAGTGATTAATGCGATATGGCAAAACTGTGTGGAGAGAACAGGACCAGGGAGTAACAAACAGCAGGTGCATGAAATAATGGTGATCACTATGACGTGATAGAACGGCAGGGAGAGACAGTGCAAAAACAACACAAGCTTCTAACTTCTAACTGAAGCTGTGTGTGACCTTTGATGCTTTTTTCACCATCACTGCACTGGATGGTGGCATCATCTGGCAAAGGCACTAAGATGACCAATCACCTACAGGAGATGATCAGGGACGTGGACGCCCACAGGTGGAAGACTCTTGTGTTTACCTTGTTAGCATGAGCATTCACTGCTATTCACTGTTGAATTTGGGCCACAGTTAATGCACCATAACGACACGCCATGCATTTTCGTTAGTACCGGATGTTGGATGGCGTTTTTTATCCATCACTGCTGACACACTGGCTGTAGAATTGGTGCATGGTAGAGTAGGCTACATTAGCAGCATGGCTAACCCAAACACACAGGCTGGACATGTGAATGAAGCCACTCACGTTGACTCATCATAACATGGCTGTATCTTACACGCCTACAACACTCCCCCTGCACCCTCTCACCCCCGACCAATGCAGCCCCATGCATTAAAACACAGCAGGGAGTTGCATTCTTGCCAGACTACTGATATCACAAGACAGCTTTTACCTTGACAAGATATAGTCACATTTTAATATTGTGAGAGCTCGTGGCATAAGATCTTGTCACACCCCTAGTCCTAACGTTATCTGGTAACACAAAAACAACAACACCACCACAGCAGAGTGTATGTCTTTACTAATGCCGTTTATGAAATACTTGAACACAGGCTGTAACTCTGTCAATGTCAGTCCGTCTGTTATGCCCCATCTAAAGGAAAAGGGGCCTAACATAACAGTTCAGAGACTTATTCCATCCATGGTCCCCAGAGTACCTGAATCCTAAATGACAAAAAAACACCTAAAGAACAGTTACTAACCTTAACTTCCTAAGCACATAAAAAAGGAGAAAAAAAGAAAAACTACAGTGGCAGAAAAAAAAAGAAAGAAGCCTAAGCCCGCCAGAATAGCCTAGTTACACGATGTCACATGCTTACAAATACACAGCTCTGACATAATGTTGAGCTAAGGAATAAAATCCAAAAAGACTAATAAAACTGTCATAGACTACTGTCTGCTGCCAAGCCGCCACCCAGCCGGTCTGGAATTCACCTATTTGAAGGCTAGGGAGTGCTGGATGGACCAATCGTTGGTAACCTCCCCCTTGAATCCAACCAATCAAGCACGGACACATACTCTCATCCGAACTCACCCATCACATTCTCATCTCCACACACACCCCCACAAGAGAACACAGGAAACAAAAAAACATATGGCATGGGGCCATAACACTGTCTCACGGACATCTGTAGTTTTTCCAGATGTAAAAAACTCATCTACCTCAGTCCCCCAAATAAATAAATTCATCACACACCAGAGGGTTTGGTAAGTCTTTGTGACTGTTTCGCCAAATAAGCCTTTGGAGTTGGCAGCCTAGCAAACCCATCTCAGCCATCTTGTAATAGATTACAAAGCCCAATGTATATTATGTGCGATATGAGCTCATAATCTATGGATGAAAATCAGCTGTCCCTGCATCCAGTAGATCCTTCTCCAGTGCATCTGTGCTGGGAGAGCTCAGCTGTGCACTTTGGCTGCTTGTGAGGCTGCTTACTTCACATACAGTAAGCAGCCTCACAGTGGTCAATATTTTAACATATGCCTGAATCCAAATTATGATATGGATCAGCACCAAAATATAATCAACCGTTCCATGGGCCATACCCTACCTCGCACAAATTTCATCAAAATCAGCTCTTTTGAGTTATGCTGTTAGAAACCAAACCAACCAACCAACCAATCAACCAACCAACGCCAACTAAAACGTAGCCCCTGCCCTTGGTGGAGGTAATAAAACTAATATCCCCAATAATGATTAGAAGATCATGTGAACATTTCCAGGATTAAATTATAATCAAGGGACATCAATCTTCAGTTAGTGATCACTTATAAATAATCAGTAATCAATAACACACTGTTTGAGTTGGTCGAAGTCTCTCTGTTTCTGCTCTATCTCATCTCGGAGGCGACTCAGCTGTTTCTGATGAACTTCCCTGTGGTTTTCCATCTGTTCCTCCAGAGTTCTCTACAACACACAGCAGCAGATAGTTCATTTACACGCTTATTTTTCATTTATTTATTAATTTATTTTATTTTTCTTTAGTTTCACACAACAAAACAACAAAAAGGTGACTATTTTAAGCCATTCAGGCTCTCCATCATAAGGACCAGGATTTATTTCACTGATTAAAGTGATACTGAACTTCAGTGAAGGATCAGTCTGGGGTCTTTTTAATATTTCTATAACCACAGTTACGTTCCATGTGCAGTACAGACCCAAACCAACAATGTATTAGTCCAGCTCTTAATACTTGGACTCCCTGTCTGTGGCTCTCACCTCCAGGTCCACTGGCTCCTACTGAAAACATAGGCCTAGGCTGCTGGGGGGGCATGATGTTCTGAGCTCCTCCCATCCCTCCCCTCTCCTCCCCCTCCCCTCCTCTCTTCTCCCTTCCCCTCTCCTCTCCTCTCTTCTCCCTTCCCCTCTCCTCTCCTCTCTCTTCTCCTCTCCTACCCTCCTCTCCTCTTTACACTGATGTAAATTAGAAACAATACAAACTTTAGTCCTGAAGAGCATCAGATTTAACACAGTATTGGTTTGGGATTCACTGACAATAAGAGAAATGCAGAGTAACTGTCAGAGAGAACTGAGTCCGAGTCCAGTACTCTGATGTGATCTGATAAATTCAGTAACAAAATGTGATTCTACCTTCATCTCTACAGCATCCTTCAGTCTACTCATGTGTTCTTTCTCTTTGTCCATCACTGTCACCTCGTGCATTTTACCTAAACGAACACACATACACATATTTGTTTATTTAAAAAGACTTAACAGCTGTTTTACGGTTCTAAACAAAGACTTTATGACAGAACAGGCTCTGTTACTGTCTCTGGTTTGTTGAACTGTCTTTGACATTAACATCAGTCAGCCAGTCAGAAAGCAGTGTTTCCTGTAACCATGGTAACTTTGTCTGACCTTGAGCATGGAGTTTGGCGACCTCCTCCATCAGAGCGTCCTGACTTTCCTCCAGCTGCCTTTTTTTCTGCTCCACCTTGTATAGGTCATCCGTCAGAGACACAAGCTTCATCTGGAGCTACACAAACAACAGCATTGACAATAAGAACATTTTCATAAAATGTAGGACCAACAATGTGTTATTGAGAACGTCTGCCCAGCTAGATCTGATTTCCTGCTCTGAGAAGCTTAATAAATACCAGCCCTGATGTTTTTTTTTTACCTGTGAGATGAGTAGCTGACAGCTACTGAGCTCCTTCTCATTGGCCTCCATCCTGCAGGTGTTCTCCATCAGGTTGACCTCCAGCTGTTTACTGCGGTTCACCAGAGATTTTACCTCAGACTTCATCTTACTGATGTAGAGACGAGCTGTGGTGAACTCCTCCTCCATCGCTCCACTCATCTGAAGGTAGAGACCGAGTCAGTAAACACAGACTATGATGGGTTCCTCCATTTTGGACTCTGTCCCCTCAAAGCTCAACTCTGTCAGGATGCTTTGCTGTTGATCAACTCAGTTCATATGTCAGTTCACCAAAGTTGAACGTGTCATCTTCCTGGAGTGAATCTAGTGATGAACCGTGCATGTTAAGAAAGATTTATATTCCTCTTATGTTTCTAAAAGACTGGCATTCTGCAGGAATTCAGCTTGTCTCCATGTATACAGTAAACAGTTTTCATCCTACAGTGTCACCACACCACGTGACATGTAAAGTTGGTATTAGTGGCAGATTATGAGAGAAATGTGAACATCACAAGAGTTTGGGTCTCACAGCTTTGAGGTCGGAGGTACCGAGGACGTTGCCAATGTCATTGAGGTCTCTGAGCAGCAGACTGAGGATCTCTGTTGACCTCTTCTTATGATGAGTGCTGAGCTCCTGCAGAGTGGACAACTCCCTCTGAACTGCCTCCAGACTCACCTGGAAGCATAGGTGAACAAGAAAAAGAAATGATCTCTACGAAACAGGGCCACTTCAACACTTATACTGTCCGATACATGAATGGACATGCATCATATTGTAATTGTATTTGTATTATTGTATTGTAATTGTAGAGAGAGAGATAGATAGATGTATATATATATATATATATATATATATATATATGTATAGTTGCACTGAACAGCTAACTGACAGTTGACTGACAAAATCCTCAGTCGGGGACAGCCCTACTACATAGCTTGAAAGGACGGGTACAGCCCTACTACAGAGCTTGAAAGGAGGATACTTACACCACTCTGTTCATCATACTGCTCGGAGTCTCTGTTGATAACTTTAGTTCTTCACTGGTTCTTCTGCAATGTGGAGCTCCACAAAGTTCCATACTTAGCCTGATTTTATTCACTTTGTATTGTCCAGAGACATTTTAACTCCGACCTCACCCTTCTTTCTGTAAGTGGACTCACAGTTTTGTGTGAAAGCTCCTCGTTCAGCTGTTCGTTGAAGCGGTTCTTGTTCTCCACCTCCTGGCTCTTGTGGTCATAGTTGACAGCGAGCTCCTCCAGCGCCTGCAGCACCTCCTTCACCTCCTCTTTGGCCAAGTCATTGTCCCTCTGCATCTGGGACAGCTCCTCCTGCAGACGCTCATAATGCTGATGGCTGGATGCCAACATCTGGGTTGGTAGAAGGTTGATAAACAGATTGATAAATGTGTGGGACAGTCTGTATGTTCACAGAAGAGGCTGTAACACTCAGGTGAGACTCACCTCATCCTGATCAATCAGCTGTTGTTTGAGTTTCTCAACTGTCTGACTGTACTGGTTGATTTCATCGTCCTGAAACACGAAGCACAAAGCTTTTAATCTTTCACAACTTTTAACACAAACATAAGGTCTGAGCTGGTTCAGGTGCGACTCACCTTGTTGTCCAGATGACAGTACAGTACAGGCAAGACTCACCTTATCGTCCAGCTGCTGGTACAAATCAGTGATGAGCGTCTCGTATTGCGCCTTCTCCTCGTCAGACAGAGGGACAGGGCTGGGGGCGGGGGCCAAGCTGTCCATTGCTGCTGTTGTGTCGCTGCTGCTGTT